TCTTCAGACCCTCTCCTATTGCTGCTGGAACAGTGAGGGCACAGAGTAGGCGTGGAGCAAATCTTTGCTGAACAAATAAAAGCCCAAGCAAGGAGTCTTCCTCATATGCAAATTGGATCCCGTTGCTTGCTTAGAATCCTTCAGTGGCTCATGCTGATTTTCGGATAAAATCCACACTCCCAGCCTGATTCGAGGCTTCTCGTGTTGGGCCTTCCCTGACCTCTCCAGCATCATTTCCCACCACTCTCCATTTGCATACTGTGGCCCGGCCCCCTGAGTGAATGTCAGAAAACTTGTAAGAAGTGCATGTTTCAAGGGCAGTGTTGAAGAATGATCTATGGCTCTGGAGTCATCTTGAATGCACTCACCTTCCAGCTTCACCAAGGGGCTCTGCAACCTGTAGAGAGTGCCTTAGACGCTCTGTGCCTCAGTTTCCCCATCTGTACAATTGGGCCAATAGTATCACCTAGTAAAGTTGTCCTGAGGATTAAGTTGTAAATACTCATGAAGCACTTTAATCAATGCCTGGCATGAACAAACCCTCTATAATTGTTGGGAGCCTGGTTATTTTATCATATGTTATTTCCTTCTGCCCCTACCTTTATCTGATGGATTCCACCCACCCTTCACATGCCAGCCGCCAAATCATAGCCTTTCTTGAAACTTGCTCCTGTAGCTGTGTAGCATAGAGGTTAAATGCTTCAGTTGTAGAGTTAGAATGTGTGGCTTTAAGGCCTGTTTCTCCTACTCACTATTTTGCTCTGGTCTAACCTCACTATGAGTCCCTGGAAAGAGAAGGTAGATGGTTCAAGTCCACCCAGAGACTCCTCAGAAGAAAGACCTCGTTATCTACTTCCAAAAAGTCAGCCCCTGAAAACCCTGTGGAACACAGCTTGCCTCTGACCGACATGAGATCGCCATGAGTTGGAATCATCTTGATGGCAACTGGTCTTCTTTGTTTAACTTCTCTCAGCCTTGGTTTCCACCTCCATAAAGTTAGGTAACAACAGTTCCTATTTCATTGGAGTTGTCAGGAGAAAAATATGAAGTTATTGAAAACATACCTAACATATATATATAAAAAAAAATCTGTTCTGGAAGAAGTGCAGCCGTAATGCTCCTTGGAAGTGAGAATGGCCAGACTTGGTCTCTCCTACTTTGGTCATGTTGTCAGAAGGGACTAGTCCTTGGACAAGGAGATCATGGTTGGTAAAGTAGAGGGTCAGGGATACAGGGGAAGATCCTCAATGAAATGGACCGACAGGCAGCCGTAACGATGGGCGCAAGCACAGCAAGGACTGTGAGGACCGTGCAGGACAGGGTAGTGTTTCCTGCTGTTGTACAGAGGGTCGCCGTGGGTCGGAGCCGACTTGACAGTATCTAACCACAACAAATGCTAAATCCTTAACTGATACTAGGGATTGTTTTTATTGGCAGCCTTTCTCATCTTTTATGAAGAATTAGCCACTGTATTGTTATAATCCCTTTACTGGTTTGTCTACTCGACTGTGGGTTACTGCAGTTCAGGAATAGGGTCTTATTGATAGTTGTATCTATCACAAGCTCTGAGCACATCCTTCAGCCAGTGGAACAAACTAGAATTCAGTGGAACCATTTGCACACATTACTTCAAGATTTTAGAGGACTGTGATGGCAAGAGAAAGCATGAGCCAGGAAGATCTTCGGGTGGGGGGAGATGATTTCTTTCCTTTAGAAAGGACTGAAGCCTGGATGTTAATTACTGCTGTACCATTTCATTTAGCAAAAGGGTGATCAGAGATGGGCGAGGAAGTCTGTCCCAGAAGGGCTGGGACTAGACTCTGGGGCCACGGCACATTCTTCATCAGTGGGATTGGCTGCATCATCCAGTCCTTAAACAGGACACTGCTGGTAAATGTTTAACAACTGCTTCTCCAAGAGCAACGCAAAGCCTGGTTTGTAGTGTTTCCTGATTCCCCTGGTGTAAATTCTCCTAAACCAAACCAGTTGCCATTGAGTTGACTCCAACCTTGGAAATCCCCTAGAGATCAGAGTAGAACTGTGCAGGTCAGTGGCTGTGACCTTGCAGCAACAGATTGCCAGGCCTTTCTTCTGAGCCTTTCAGTTAGATCTGAGCCTGACCATTTGGGCTACCCAGGGACTCCTGTGAATCTCCTGCTATGGCCAATTTCAAGCGACCTCTGTGATTGTTAACCAACTCTCAAAATTCCTGAAAATTTACCAATGACCCAGCTCCAGCACACCACAGTATAAGCATCTTATGTCAGTTTTTCCATCTACAAAATGGGAATGCTATAACATGCCCACTCTGTCTCCCATACTAAATGTCAGAGAGAGAGGAGGTCGGGTATGAAGGAACCAAGGAAATGTTCGTACTTTAGCATCCCGGTGTATGCAGTGTTATTCAGAAATGCTCTTCCCATCCACTGGCCCTGTTTGTCTTAGGGCGAGGATCTGTGCTGACAGCCTTCTCTCAGAGAGCCGCCTGTCTGGGGTTCGGCCCTGAGCAGTGTATTTAGTTCTATATCCTCCCGATCAGGGCTGTGCTCTCTGCAGCAGACTGACTCAATTAGCCTTTCATTCCAGAGTCCAATTGTGAGTCAATTCTGAGGTTGTTAAGCAAAATGAGTCTGGTGGCATTAGCCTTGTGCTGAAGAATAGTAATCCGTGTCACAGTGTTGTTAATAGTCTGCTCGAGAGACTACGAAAACCAGGAGACACAGAGGCAGGCGACCATCACTGTCTCTGGGGGGCTGCCAGGTCAGAGAGCTGTTCAGTGACCAGCTTGTGTGTAGAACTGGGGCCCCAGCTGCCTGATCCACAGTTGGCCTTTGCGAAGTTAGAAGCCCAATACCAATAGATCATTAACTTTCATGACCATGAAAATTCTTCTGAAATTAGCACACTACCCAAGCTGGATGTGATTGGAGCCAATTGAGTAAGCCTGAACCACCTTTAGGGATTGCTCTGAAAAATAAATCTTTTAACCGGGCTGCAGAAAATGGCCAGGTTTTATACCCTTCAGTGTGTGCAATTAGAGTCAGCAAATACCGGCTTGGCGCTGGCTGGGTGGGATCCAGGCACACGCACATGTGCACGCAGAAGCCTCATTTGGAGGATCTGGCCACGGCACTTAGCTTCAGCACACAGCCTGCTCGGGAAGTGTTATAAAGGGCCTCTCGGAGGAGTGTCAGGTGCTGTGCAAAAAAAATCAAGCGGCACTCCGCCACCTGCCCCGGGGACTTCCGTGATGCGCCAGGCACACAGAACACGGAGTGTGCCAGATGGGCCCAGAAAAGGGAGGCTCGGGCGGCCTTGTTCATGAGGGTTTAAGGAAATAACCCCCACCCCACCGTCAACGAAAGAGGGGAAGGCCCTCAACGAGGTGGATTGACATGGTGGCAGCGGCGATGGGCTCAAGTGTAGCAAGAGTCGTGGAGCTGGCTTAGGACCGGGTGGTGTTTTGTTCTGCTGTGCATAGGGTCACTATGAGTCGGAGATAGCCCCATGGCATTTAACAACAATAACAACAAATGATCGCCAAGCATCTTTGCAGTATACTGTGACTTCAATAATTTCATCAGGCCCTTTAATCCCCCTTCATGTTAAATTTACCCTAAAGGGGTGTGTAATGGGCTTCCCCAGAGCCATTTGCAAACCTTTGTGAACCCCTCATCCTACCCACTCCACCCCGCCAGACCAGCTGTTTACATCATGAAATGCACTAAATAAATACAGGTTTTGGGTGGAAAAAAGGGAAAACAGCTCCGGGTATGTCATTTGCCACCTTGGTGAACCACAGACAGAAGAAAGCTGGGACAACCCCCCACTGTCTCCCATAACTGCCAGATAATTGTAGCTCTCTTGAAGTCCATTGTGGGTCACTTGGAAACAGAGCCATTGTCTGTCCAAGGCGGCCCAGGGCCCATCCAGGATTTCTCCAACAACATCCTCTTCAGAGTCAACAACGGCCTATTGGCCGCGAAGAGCCCTCTTCCTCCCTGGGCCTGCATGCTGGCAGCCTCTCTTCCTTTCTGGGCTTCTGCAACCTCGCTGCAGGCCCAGGGTGGTGCAGACCATTAACGTGCCTGGCTTCCAAAGGTTGGAGTCCAAGTGCACCCAGAGGCACTCAGAAGAAAGGCCTGGTGATCTACTTGTGAACAATCGATCAGCCATTGACACCCTATGGAGCATGTTCCTACTCTGACACCCTTGAGTTCGCCATGAGTCGGAGTTGACATGATGGCAACTGGTGGGAATTTCCCTGCCACCCAGAACCTCCAGTGGGACTGTGCCGTCTCTGGAGGGTTCCCAAATTGCAGACAGATGCTGCTCCTTTGATCATGGACTGCGTAGGCGCTGCCTCCAACCACAGATCCGTCACAACCCATCAAAGACGGGTGTCACCCCTCCCGGAGCACACATCTCCTGTCCTTCCTGCCTCTCCCTCCGCTTGGCTGGAATAAATAAATCACCGGCCCCTGGGCTGGTGGATGAGAGAAGACTTACAAGACAGATACATGCATTTCTAAAGCCAGTAGGAATTACGGGAGCAGATGGACTATAGGATGCTGTTTGGATGCCAGAGACATGTTTCTGTATAAAGTAAATATTTTCCTAGTGTGGGACTCCAGTGAGTGTGTGGAGAAGCCTGTTTTCCTAGAGATGCAAATCAGTCTAGTCAGAAATAAGTAATTGAATGGAAACTTCAAAGCATGGACATTCTCCACTTACAGGCCCTGAACATTTCTCTCCAAATAAGCAGACACACACACGTGACGGGGGCTGGGGGCATCGGGGATGCTTGTGGGTTTATATTAAAGATAGTCAACATTTTAATATTTTGCATTTCCTGTTTTCTCTCTCTCGATAGACAGACTGATAGATATTGTGTGGTGGGGGTGGGGGAAGGCGTCTGAACAAAGAAGTAAGGAAAAACGATGGCTGTCCTGAGGCTTATGAAGCTTAAAACACATTTTCCCCCTTTCTTCATATTGCAGGTCTCGTCTTGCAGATTTTTTTACCAACTGCCAGCCGGAGTCAAGGTCTGTCAGCAGCTGTCTGAAGGAAAACTACGCTGACTGCCTGCTCGCCTATTCGGGGCTGATTGGTAAGACGGGAGAAGTGGGGACAGGAGCAAATCTGCTTTACAAATACCCAAGGCGTCTCCATTGTCGGTGGTCGGGTGTAAAATCAAAAATCTCCCAGCAACCCTCCCTGCGGGGGTTTGACGTGAGGCCTTTCGGGGAAGGAGAGGATGGAAAGGAGGAGAGCAGTAGAGGTGCACAGGCAGAGGCAGGAAGGTGGCTATTACAGAGCGGGGAGAACGCGAACAGGGAGCCAGTGAGAGGCCCGCTTGGAGAGCGCAGAGCAGAAGTTGGAAAAAGAGCAGTTGTGGAAGAAGGGAGCCAGTCAGATGAGGTTAAATTGAATCAGGAGCTTTGGAGAAAGGGAACTTGGAAGTCCCTCAGTCTGGGAAAATCAAAAAGACGTTTCCCCCTAAATGGTCCTTTGGAAATGAAAAACCCTGAAAAAGCTGGGGTCTTCCCTTCCGTTGATGTTCATGGTAATTTAACTTCCTGTGTTCAGGGAGTGACTTAGGCTATTTCTTCCCCCTGAAGACAGACACAGCAGCAATGGTATTGCGTGTCTTTTAAGACCTAGGGCCCCTTAGAACAGGGTTCTGAGCCTGCAGGAAAGCAGAGGAGTTAGATAAGGCACTGGGAGTTTTGGAAGAAGAGAATCAATGAGGAGGACTTGTGCTCTCAGGTAAATGGAGCAGGCCAGGGGAAAGGCAGGTATCCCAGCTAGTGGTGGCATTTGAGAAGGCTCATGAGGGAAGGCTGGGTAGGGCTGAGGGAAATCACCACTGTCAGGAGCGTGATGGCTCTGCCAGCGTGTGTGTCCCTCCCAGGTGTCTATGTCAGTGTCACACAAGTCACGAGGCAGGAAGAACATCCCACTGAGAATGAAGTACACCAACTCAACCATTTCTCCATATATGATTCAGTGGCCTTGATGAATTCTTCAAGTTGTGCAACCATTCTCACCCTGTTTTCCTGATTAGTTCCAGTGTTTATAGCTGCACTAATCACAAAGGCTAAAAGGTGGAAACAACCCAAGGGCCTGCCACAAGATCAACAGACAAACAGAATGTGGTTGTTGATATTGTTGGGTGCCGCTGAGTCAGTTTCAACTCATAATCACCCTGTGTGCAGCAGAAAGAAACACAGTCTGGCCCTACAGCATCTTCACAATCATTGCTATGCTGGAACCCATCATCTCAGCCACTGTGTCAGTCCGTCTTATTGAGGGTCTTTCCCGTTTTTGCTGTCCGCTTCACCTAGCATATATCCTTCTCCAGGGAGTGGTCCCGAGTGATAGCACTACCAAAGTGTGGTAGCTGAAATCTCGCCATCCTCACTTCCAAAGAGCATCTGGCTGTACTTCTTCCAAGACAGATCTGTTCGTTCTTCTGGAAGGCCATGGTACATTCAATATTCTTCACCAACACCACAATTCAGATTCATTAGTTCTTCTGCAGTCTTCCTTATTCATTATCCAGCTCTCACATGAATATGAGGGTATTAAAAAGACCATGGCTTGGGACAAGTGCACCAAAGAGACATCTTTGCTCTTTGACACTTTAAAGAGGACTTTTACTGCAGATTTGCCCAATGTAATATGTCATTTGGTTTCTTGACTATTGTTTTCATGGACATTGATTATAAATCTAAGTAAAATAAAATCCTTGACAACTTCAGCCTTTTCACCATTTATCATGATGTTGCTTGTTGGTCCAGTTGTGAGAATTTTCGTTTTCTTTATGTTGAATTGTAATTCATACTGAAGGCTATAGTCTTTGACCTTCATCAATAAGTGCTTCAAGTCGTCTTCACTGTCAGCAAGTGAAGTTTTGTCATCTGCGTATCACAGGTTGTTAATGCATCTTCCTCCAATCCTGATTCCATGTTCATCTTCGTACAGTCCAGTTTCTTGGATTATTTGCTCAGCATATAGACTGAATTAGTATAGTGAAAGGATACAACTCTAATGCACTCCTTCCTGATTTTAAACCATGCAGTATCCCCTTGTTCTGTTCAATGACTACATATAGGTTCCTCATGGGCACAATTAAGTGTTCTGAAATTCCCATTCTTCTCAATGTTATCCATGATATACTATGATCCACACAGTCAAATGCATTTGCATAGTCTGTAAAACACAGGTAAACATTTCTCTGGTACTCTTTGCTTCCAGCTAAAATCCATCTGACATCTTCAATGATATCTCTAGTTCAATACCCTCTTCTGAATCTGGCTTTAGTTTTGGCATTTCCATGCCAATGTACTGCTGCAGCCATTTGTTAATTATCAACAAAATTTTACTCATGTGTCTTATTAATGAAATTGTTTGATAATTTCCACATTCTGTTGGATCACTTGTCTTTGGAAT